GAGTTTAGTTTTATAAATAATGAGCCGCCGACACGTTAATCTACATTTTCACTTTTTATTTTTCTGACAAGAATAAAGTTCACATCGTGGTATTTCGTCACAATAAAAGTCCAAAAAAGAGCGGCTTGTTTTATACATTACACATGTGCATTTATATGCTGTATATATTTATATTTAAAGAGTCATTTGAGCGCGTTTCCCAGGAGAGGAAACGGACTGCTCGGTGAAGAAAAGGCACAATAATACGACATTAAAACGCGAGAGAAACACTGCGCTGAACAAGCACCAGTGTTAGAGTGTTAGAGCTTCTTTAAGGGGACACATTTTTAATAATACACACATTCGTTCAGCTAAAACCAGCAAGAAACATTTTTATATGTTAAGATAAATATATATATTAGTGTCTGATTTACCTGAACACACCTTCACTGTTATTGGAAATGAAATAGCTTTGCTGATGGTATTTGGTGGCTTTATAATACACAAAACACTTCTTGTAACGTGTTCAAATGAAAAATATATATATTATTTTAACTGAGAGAGGGGCTGCTCGTCTGATATATAACATATAGAATTAAAACAGTGGTTTGTTTCAGTGCAATAAACACAAATCCAGCTTAAATGTGCATTTGACATTGTCTTCCTGAGGGGGGGGGGGGTCTTTGTTCCTGACATACTTCTTATAATACATGTTAGATTTTACCTGCAGATGAGATCATGAGACATTGCATTAATACTCATTTCATGCTCAGAATACTCCAATATCCTGAATATGAGACGCTCGCTGGGAAATGGTGTTCGTTCACCAGCAGGGGGGTTAAAAAACTACATATCCCATCAACACAGGGTTTAAAATCCCAATAAGTGGAGGATTAAAGCAGGTAAGAAACCTCTCTGTTTCCTGAGGAGGACACCTTGAACGTGAGAGCAGCAGCGTCTAACTCTCCTCAAGTGTGGCGGACTTCATTACCCACAATGCATCTGGTTTGCAGCTGTTTAGTACTCTTGAGGTCACGGCTGGAGCGTGGAGGGGTTTCTCCAGAAACAGAAAGAAGGTCTGGAGGAGGAACGGCTGTTTATTGCACCAAGTGTTTTTGATGCAAAGCTTTGACTGTTGCACGATAGAAAAGGAGGGGTTTCTGCTTCAAAGCCATCCAGGTGTTCAGTTTCTGCTTCAAAGCCATCCAGGTGTTCAGTTTCTGCTTCAAAGTCATCCAGGTGTTCAGTTTCTGCTTCAAAGTCCACTAGGTGTTCAGTTTCTGCTTCAAAGCCATCCAGGTGTTCAGTTTCTGCTTCAAAGTCATCCAGGTGTTCAGTTTCTGCTTCAAAGCCATCCAGGTGTTCAGTTTCTGCTTTAAAGTCATCCAGGTGTTCAGTTTCTGCTTTAAAGCCATCCAGGTGTTCAGTTTCTGCTTTAAAGCCATCCAGGTGTTCAGTTTCTGCTTCAAAGTCATCCAGGTGTTCAGTTTCTGCTTCAAAGTCCACCAGGTGTTCAGTTTCTCGTGTAGTCCAGTTGTCCGCAAACAAACACATGTTTTTTATGCAGTTCTGTTGCACGATAAAAAAAGACGGGGGTTTTGCTTCAAAGTCCACCAGGTGTTCAGTTTCTCGTGTAGTCGACAGGTAGCAGAGGCACCGCCGCCTCCCCTCCCTCGCCCACATGTGTCCTAGCTTTGCTGTCGGCCATCTTCTCCATTTTCTTCTTCTCCTCCTGCAACTCTTGGCAGTACGGGGGGGGCAGGCAGGGCACCAGGTGCACCTCGCCGCTGTCCATCAGCTGCACACAGGTGTAGAAGTCCTGGGGAGAACGCTGAGGATGAGGAGGAGGGTGAGGAGGGTGAGGATTACCCATAATGCTGTACTCTGTGCCCGGGAGAGACAGGATCTCCGGCGGCGGGTCCAAAGCTGAAGGAGGCAAGGAGCAATAAGGAGGAGAAACACTCTTCAGGTACGAGGAGGAAACACTATTCAAATACGGAGGGGAAACGCTCTTCAGGTGAGAAACACTCTCCAGGTACGAGGGAGAACCGCTCTTCACCGGTGTCACGTGACTCTGTGATGTCATGGCGTCCATGTTCGTCGGGAGGTAGGCGTCGCTCACAGCGTCCCACGCCTCCTCCCTGTACTTTGGGGGCGTGTAGCTGTGGAAGTTACTGAAGTGACGGTTTATCTCATCCAGGTTCCCCTTCTGAGGAGAGAAGAGAGGGTCAACACACAGATCACAATCATAAGAATAATACTTTTCATTTTCATAGCGCTTTTCCTGGTGCTCGAAGACGCTTTACATCAAATCAGAAACTGAAACAGTACCAAAAGAAAATAAAGGGAGTGTGAGTGTGTGTGTGTGTGTGTGTGTGTGTGTGTGTGTGTGTGTGTGTGTGTGTGAGAGAGAGAGTGTGTCATCCTGCGTCTGTTCTGCTTAAAATGTGTTTGTGGTTTTGACTGTTTTAGGCTCCTGCAAACTGCAAGATTATCTCGTGTGTGTGTGTGTGTGTGTGTGTGTGTGTGTGTGTGTGTGTGTGTGTGTGTGTTACCTTCAGGAGCAGCGGGTCGATGCCGATGATTCGCGGCTTGGGAATGGGCGGCAGGAAGTAGTTTTTTATTCTGAAGGGGACGACACAAAGAGTGAGCATGAACACCCTTTAAAATAAACCCCTCCCCAAAATTGACGGAGTTACTGTACTTAAGCACATGTTTCTGGTATCAGTACTTTACTCCACTACTTATTTTTCTGACCACTTCTTATTTGGGACCAATGAAAACGTTGTCATGTTGCCGTTGTTCAGCATGGAAACATTCATTAGCTAACAATGACATTATTGTTCTATTAATATAAAGGGAGGTCAGGTACTCTTTAAAACAGCTGCTAGTTATGGGTACTTTTTACTGAAGTACATTTCAGAGTTCTTTACTTTTACTTGAGTAAAGAAGTTTAGTCAGTACTTCTACTTTCACCAGAGTATTTTTAAACACGAGTATCTGTACTTGTACTTGAGTAAAGGATGTGTGTACTTGTTTATTGTTGACTGTTTACCAGCGACGTGCAGTCAGTGGAGGCAGGGGAGGCAGAGCCTCACCTGTCATACTCCAATGTAACGGAAAAACAACTAAAGAAAAACGAAATAGTAATAATAATAAAATGTCTCCACTGATCTGTGTTGTAAGTGTGATTTATGTATGATTCTAATCGCTTTTTATAGTCAAAATCAGCAAATTTGCCGAGCTCCGCTACGGGAGCGATGACAAGTGAGGCAGGCACGTGCTCTGCCTCTCGTAAACCCACAGTAACTTGCTGGAGCGCGGGCACTAATTTAGCGCGGGCACTTATTTTGTGAGCGCGCTCAAGCCAGTTACCATGGGGTGAGGTGAGGCACAGATGAGATCTGCCTCACCTCAGAATGCGTCACCCCACAGAAACTGGCTGGAAAGCGGGACCTAAGCGCATGCCTGTTACCATCTCACTGTAGGTCACCAATGTAATGTATGTAGATCCCTTTATTACATTTATCCTCGCCATCCATAGTCTCTAAATAACTTATTTCACGTATATATGATATTTAGGCTCGCTGGTCTCAACGGCAATGAAAATGCACCAGGGGAGGCAGCCATAACCTCTGCCGCACTGAACCCACAGGTTCTTGTTGCTACTGTAAATTCTACACAGAGACGGTAGACGCAAACAACAAGCTAGACTTTTGAAACTAGAGGAAGATAAGGAGGACTTTTACAAAAAAGTAATAGAGATTGTTGTCCAGAAGGATAGCATGGACTTCAAGTCAAGGTAAGACCACATTTCTAATGAAAATGGGATCTTACTAAGAAAGAATAATCCAATATTTAGATTTTGGGTATCCTTTTGTTGAACGGTCTGTTTAAAATGAATCGAACCATCAGACTAAAAAAGCTTTTGAAAATAACCGAATATTTCGATTAAGGTCAAAATATAATATTTGTAAATCTGACTCAGTGAGTCAGTGCCTCACCAGCCATGAACCTCACCGCACGTCACTGCTGTTTACTCACCTCCTGCTCTGGGGGAGGAGCCCCAGGGTGACCACCAGCAGAGCCACCACCCCCACCCCCGTCACCAGAATCAGAACCAGCAGCTTACCTGCACAGGTGACACAAGGAACACATATTTACAGATGAAAAACTAATTTCATTTATAGCTCTTTGTGTCCATGGAGAAGTGTCCATTTATTTATTTAGAAGACAGTTGAGAACATTTCACGAGTTACAATGAAATATACTTGCAGTTACAGGGAGTAGTAAACATTTGCAATAAGGGAACAGAATACATTGAAACCCTCGCCTTCTCATTGTCCTCTTTTTTATATCTGTATTGTCATCATACAAAGTAAAACGACATTTCTTTGGCAACTCTCACTGCAGTAAAAAATAGACACAAATAAATAAATAACAGCGGTAGTAGCGATGTAGTGTATTTCTAACTGTGTGTTCATAAAGGGTTATTAGAGGGGCGGAGGTGTGTTTATGAATGTTCACAGTTGTTTTAAAGGTCACCTATCATGCTATTTTCAGGCAATAGCATAGGTCTCAGAATGTCTATGAAGTGTTTTGCTCCAAATACCAAACAGATCATTCTAGCCATGCCTCATATCCCTCTGTTTCACTTCCTGTTTCAAAAGTGCTGATTTGGGGTCTGAGCTCATGCGGGACCCGGCAGCTACCGTCTAAACTAAATACTGCCGTGATGAAACGCCATATCATGGATTATCAAGGATTATCTCTGAAACAGTATGGAGCTCAAAGGCTTTCTCTCTTGCCGGTTATACCACAAGGTGAGTTCCTTTTTATTTCCTGCTTCTTCACACACATGCTCTCCAGTACAGGTTAGCTCTGAGTGTTAGCGATGCTAATGTAAACACCGACCATATTACGTCCAAAACAGTCGGGCATTGTTTGATAGCAACTTTCTGATAGGGCCACATTTCAGATATTACGTCATATCGGAAGCAAATCTGGATCAACTCCGTTGTACCCCCGTTTTTAGAGATTTGGGTACGGAGGAAAAGAGAGAGGGCTTTATTTTCTGACGCTGCGTGAGTTCCCTGACACACCGGGGACACATATTTATGTAGAGAAGACATCAAAAAGTACATTTTGCATGATAGGTCCCCTTTAAAGTTTTTTTTTGATGTGCATGAGAAATGTCCATTTAAAGAGATATCTGCATTTCCCTCAGTGAACTAAGCTGCCCCTCATCAACAGGAAGCGTACCTGCAGGCGGCCGGGCGGGGATGCTCATCATCAGCGGATCGCTCCACTCGCTCCACAGCCTGGCGTTATGTGATCGGCATCGAACCCGCACTACGAACTCCCCCACCGGCAGCCCGAGCAGCTCCACCTGGGGCTCCCTGAGGGGGTACTTCACCTGGGGAACATTATAACATATTCAGATCATGTACTTCAGACATCCCTCATATCCCTCTGTTTCAGCTGTTAGAGAAACGCTGATTCTGGGTCCTTAGCTTGAAATAATAAGAGGAGGGGGAGCTAATGCCTGCTCAGAATTACACGGAGATACAATTGTGCCGTGATTAAACTCCATATCATGTTCCAAACCACATCAAGGATTCTCTCTGAAACAGTATGGAGCTCAAACTCTTTCTCTCTCTCAGGTTTACCACAAGGTGAGTCCCTTTTGATTTCCTGCTTCTTTACACATACTCTCTCCAGTACAGGTTAGCTCTGAGTGTTAGCATGCTAATGTAAACACAGACCATATCACTTCCAGAACACGTCTCATTGTTTCTGACAGCAACGTTTCTGATTGGTCCGTGGGTCTAAAGCCCGCCCACATTTTAGTAATGTGGTCATGACGCAGCAAATCTGGATCAAGTCCGTTGTTCCCCCGTTTTTAGAGATGTGGGTACGGAGGAAAAGAGAGAGGGGTTTATTTCCTGACACTTTGTGATTCTCCTGACACACCGGACACACACCGGACACACACCGGACACACACCGGACACACACCGGGGACACATGGTGATGTAGAAAAGACATCAGAAAGTGCACGTTGCGTGATAGGAGACCCTTAAAGGTGATTTCTGTGTGAGTGTACCTTCCACACGTCAGGCTCGCTGACCCGGCGGTACTGCAGCTCGTGCTCCAGAGTGATCCATCCGTACTTCAGGTGTGCCGGCACCGGGTAGATCCAGGACAGCAGGGCGTTGTGACCCATCTCATCCCCCCCCGCCTCCTCCAGCACGAAGGACAGGTTCACCGGAGCCTCCATCTGCACTGTGGGGGGGGATAAGAGAAGATAAGAGAAGATAAGATAAGATAAGATAACATAAGAGAAGAGAAGAGAAGATAAGACTGTCTTTATGTTTGGATCATTCATGCATGTCGATGTTAATCTTTAAACAGAGCATTACTCTGGATGTTATAATGAGCTAATGTCCTCCATTATTCATTATGACATCCTTCTGTTGGGTAATTTATTATTCATTCTATGCATGCTTTAGTTTATACATGATAAAGATGCCTGAATGTTATGTTACATTATTTATATGTATGTACAAGTATCAAAAAAACATACCATTATAACTTTTAATTAAACATACTGCTTTGATTGCATTGTTTTTATTCCAATTTAAACTGTTAAAATATGTTTTTTTAATATGTACTGGGAGTATTAGGGGTTTAAACAATCAGTCAATTAACCAATTAGTGTAACTGTAGAAATGTATTCAACAAATAATGATTATTGAGGTCATTTATACAGAAAACTGTGAAATTATCTGCTATTTTTGTCTGTTTTACAATAGAAATAAGAACACACACCGGAGGCCTGTACTACGAAGCTGGTTCAACCTAACCTGGATATGTTGGAGTTAGCCGGTTGGCCCAATCCAAAACATACGCGCTCTCGCTAAGCTGTACTACGACGCTGGTTATCAAGTGGATCGCTCAAGCCAGCCGTGTCCTATCTAGTTAGGTGCGCGTTCACATGAAAGGGTTGGTATTTGGAGCATTCGACCAATCACAAACATGGACAAGCGTACTGACAGCGCAGCGTCATACTTCCTGAATGAAAAGTGAACTTTAATATTAGTCAAATATGAAGAAGTTAAACTTTAAACATCCATGACTTAAACACTTTATCCAGGATCAAAGCCACATAGCTGCACCTGCAAGGTGAATACAGCTGGTAACAGAAAAAGTGTTTGAATGCGTACATTAACAGGTTTATGAAATCACTGCCCCGTCCAAGACACGATCTGACTTTAATTACATTTGACTCGAGTGTTTCGTCAATGTGTTGCTTAAAATAATACTTCTGCATACAGTATGTGACACTGTGAGTGTTGCACGGCCAGATACGGCTCAGCTGACTCAGATAAGGAAATATATGATACATTATGATGTGATATGATATGAGTGATAATGGGACACATCGCCGTCTGCACTCACAGTGCCGCGGACTGTACTTAATGTTACTCTGATCCGGTTACTTATGTTGTGGCAGATATTTAAGTAAGCTTTCTTAACGCTAATATTATAATAGTTTGATTGCTCTGAAGATGGGAGGTGATATTCTATTAATGTTCACGTTCACACAGTCAGTTGATTTTGGCCGGTCGTCTTTCCTGCAACGGCAGTTTTTCTGTATTTCCTCTATCCTGTAATATGAATTGATCGCTTTAAACTCCGCACACGGAGCTCTGATTGGTCAGCAGGCGGTGCTTTCACTGAGTTGATCTCTTAGCCTGCCACCTAACCTGCTCCGGAGCAGGTTTGCCGCTCAGCATAAGTTACCATGGAGATCTAGCCTGCTAAAAAGAGAACCAGCGTCGTAGGACCGGAAACCCTGAGTTTTCCCTGAATTTAGCTAAGAGAAAATCCAGCTTCGTAGTACAGGCCTCGGGAGTCACATGCACTCAATCACTCTCTCACACACACACACACACACACACACACACACACACACACACACACACACACACACACACACACACACACACACACACACACACACACCACACACACACACACACACACACACACACACACACACACACACACACACACACACACACACACACACACACACACACACACACACACACACAGGAAGTGGAGGGACAGCGTCTGGATAATAACACACACTGAGTCCTTGATCAAGTAAATGACATTCTGCTGGAGGATCAGAGCTGTTTGTGTGTCTGCTGTGCTTTTTGTGAAACCATAAATAAAAGGATCCCTAAAATACAACGGAAAACGACTTTTACTCTCAATTCTCCTGCCGTTTAACGACTGTTTTTAATCTCATGTCACGGCCCTTTTATAATTAGGTTTTCCTGTGTTGCCAAATGAGGTTAATAAATGAACTTATTAAACCATAAAAACACTGATCACATGTTCCTGAAAACAGCTGAGAAGTATGGAGCGTGCAAACACAATTAATACGCCGTAAGAAAGCTGACATTCTTAGACTGATAATACAATTTGTATAAGTGTTGGCATGATTGGGGAAAACACGATGTCTTTAAATGCCCTCCATAACCTTTTTAATGTGGATTTATTGAAACCTCTCCATGTAAACAGCGTGTACATTTAAATATTTATTGCATTTCTAATCATGCAAGCGTTCGTCTCAGCTGATTCGTTCAGGCCTTTAGAGTTGCGCAGAATTTAATGTTTTTTACAGAAACTTGGTAATGTAAACAAATCTCTAATAATCTACTTTTTTAACAGATTTCACCATGATTGAAAATCCGACAATTTATTCACTTCTTACAGTTTCTGGCTTTGATAAAGGGGGGGATTTAAGTGGGTTTTTACTGTGATATCTTGGTTCTAGTTACTTCATCACTTTATTTAAAAAAAAAATGGTTGTATTATTATTTAAAGTGAGTCAGCATTTCACCACTTCCTGTTCCCTGGTCTCAGAGCCAATGGGATCTCTCCATAGGTTGTGGAAAATATCTGGAACTAAGGTCTTTGGTTGAGACACATTGAAGAGACGGATCACGTTTTGTTCTAGGACATTAAATCCATCAGCAGTGACCCCACTGGTGATTTCTGAAGAGTTGACGTGTCTGAAAAACGATGGTTGTTACCAAGTGGCTGAATAGGACTACAGAAGTCGTGGAGGACGTTGTACGTCATTACGCCGAACACGTAAACACTCCTCTAAGTTAGTTTGCCCTGTTCTGCTTGAAAGCAAGTACCTACCTCCTGCAAACTGTTCAAACAAACGCTTCAACTCGTAACATTTAGAATCTGTATGTTTGAATATGGATCTGAAGTTGGCGTGACGTTGAAGTCGTGCTGCTGGACTCGCCTGTAGTTCCTTTATAGCATCATTCTGGACATTAGATTTATGATTAGAACATTATAAAAGTAGGGTAGACACGTGGAGATTATCCGGCTGAACAAAAGGTGCATTTATCAAACAGGTTCGTTTTCCACAGACCGTATTTCTTACAATATTCCAAAATCCTATGGAGAAATCTCTTTGCTTTTTGTCGAGGGAACCAGCAGCTTCCTTCCGGGTTGAACTACAGAAATACATCATCCCTGCACCGCTCTACTCCTCACCTATGTCGGCCACGTCCAGGCAGTGCTTCTGGGAAGTGTAGTTCCCGTGTTTGGTGACGGCGGTGACGTTCAGGCAGTAAAACTTCCAGATGATGGTGTGTTTCTTGTCGAAGTGGCAGCTGTTGGGTCCGGAGCTCACGTAGTCCGGACACTCCTGCTGAGGCTCCTTGCTGCGAAACACCACGGTTTAGTTTGGGGACAAAAAGCTCTTTATCTACATCTCTGTTGTGAAAATAGTGAATGTACTCTTCCAACATGAGAGTAACATGCTAACAAAGGTATCCCAACGGTAGCTGTGTGCATGACAGGATGTCTGATTACCTAGAAGAGCATCAGGACTGTTTGAGGCATATGATAGCTATGTGATTAACATGATGATTCAGCCTCTATGGAGATAGACATATGACAAGCATGCTCATTTCTGACGTGGAGCTAATCTGAAGTAAACATTGAATACTGCTTTCTATTCCTCCATCTTGTGACTGTGTAACTCCCTCTCTTGGATATCAGCATGTGAAGGACACTGTTCAGGAACTAGTTGATGCTCTGTATGTGATGACTACTTCCATTCTGGAGAGGATCACAGATACATGGATCCTGAGATTGAAGCTCAAGCCGGGGACCAGTGAGAGGTTTCTAACAATCTCTCATTTCACCTTTCACATTGTCATTTCAATTTAGCGTGAGAAGCCGTCAGAAATGATTGGTTTCGTGTGAAATTCTAGCTCTAACACTCCAGTTTTGTTGCTGATATGATGCAAATGTTCCCACTTATTTCCCATGTAGGTTGAATAATTAATCACAAATAATTTAAATATTGATTAGCTCCAGCTCTATAGGGATGCAAAGGGATCACTGCAGAATTAGAAGCTTAAATGAAAACATTAAATCAGTTTTTGTTGGAAAAAACAAGACACACTTTTACTTTCTACGAATCTTATTGTAGTTAAATTACTGCAGCATGTTTATATTAAATCTAATCTGTTGGATGTAATGATCAGAAACAGACCTGCAGGCTTTAAGGTTGTTAATTGATCGTGATCACTTTAATTGCCTTTTATCCCCGGTTGTTTCTGACCTTTTCTTATCACCTGAATGCAGATTGCCGTCAGAATTCAAACGTGTCCTGATTTCTGCTCTGACATGTTTGCACGGGGCGACGCCACGTGAGGCGTTCAGGGGCAGAAATATCGACGTGTTAAATAGCTTCTCGCTGAGGTGGTGGAGCGTGAAATGGTTTAAAATCTATACGCCCCAGAACCGTCAGTCTGCTTTGATGGGAGGCCGCTTTCCATATTACTACAGATCATTTAAGGTCATTTCTTTTAATTTACAGCTGATTTAAGGTCATTTCTTTTAATTTACAGCTAATATAATTTAAGGTCATTTCTTTTAATTTACAGCTAATTTAAAGTAATTTCTTTTAATTTACAGCTAATATAATTTAAGGTAATTTCTTTTTAATTCACAGCTAATTTAAGGTAATTTATTGTTAATTTACAGCTAATTTAAGGTCTTTAAATATGAGAATGTGAAGCTAAGATGATTTAATCTCTTCTAAAGTCAATCAGATCATTAAGTGACTTCTATCTTAAATAATGAGAGAGCTAGATGGTTGTCAGATGTCAGGATTTAAAATGTTTTTCACGTACTCTTTGGAGTATGTGAGGACGTAGGACACTTCCTCCGTCAGGTTCTCCAGCGGGCGCCACCAGCAGCTGAAGTCCTCCATGTTGGGCGAGCGGCAGAAGTAGATGTGAGGCCGAGACTTCACGTCCACTGAGGGAGAAAAGAGGAGAGTGAGACCCCCCGCGGAGAAGAACAGGTGTGTTCAGGTACAGGTCCATCAGTCAGAAAACCTCCACTTGTTTATTCAGTTTACCGCCAATGTTTCTTTGTTCTGAATGAAAAATTCTATTAAAATTTGAATTACAAAAAGAAAAGAATGGACTAAACAAAGAAACGTTGATACAGGTGAACAATCCTCCTCCACGCCACACATCGAGCGGCGACGGGACTTCCTGTCGAGGGGGGATTAGTCCAGGAGGGAATGTGAGGCACACAGAGGCCGGCTGTGTTCACTGTAAGGAGCTCAAAACGCTTCTCAGAAAGAGAGAATAATGCACTCCTGCAGAGCAAATTACTGCATCTGAAGAAGGGGGGGGGGGCTAGTCTGGGGGCCACTTACACCGTGAGAGGCAGGGACACGTCACTAGGGCCTATAGAGGAACTTCAATTAAAGAAAACACAGGAAAACTATCAAGAACATTTCTGAGAAAATAAGAAAAACACAAAAAATAGGTTGAAAATACAAAAAAGATTCATTAAAAATACGACTTAATATTTCAAAGAAACATCCGTTATAGAGAGGAAGACGGATAAAAAACAGAAGGAAATTCAAGAATACTGTACAAATATTTAGAGGAAAACTAAATTCAATAAATATAAAAAGAAAAAAATATATATAAAAAAAATACGTTAAAAAACCCCATTATTTTTAGATTATTCGTGTATTTTTGTTTGTCTGCTTTGGTGCATAACTTAAATATATCAAGGGCAAATAACATAAATCAAGATGCATGAATATAGATACAATAAAGACAGAAAGACATGAAGGAAAATACTGTACAAAAAAGTGAAAAATAAATACAAAAATCCTATAAAATACTAAAATAAATACTTAAAAAAAAGCCCAGAGGTTCCATTAATATAGAATATGTATTAAATGATTTAAAAAATATTCTTGTATGTTTGCATTTTTTTTTAAACCCAGATCTGTGTGTGAAAATGTGTGGGTTTTAACTCCAGAATCCGGTAAATTAAAGCACCACGGACTCACCGGAGCTGTTTGGGTTTTTATGAGCGACTTCTGGAGCCGCGATCCGGCCGTCGCAGACCGAAGGAAGCAGAAAGAGGAGCAGCCACAGCATCCTACACACACACACACACACACACACACACACACACACACACACACACACACACACACACACACACACACACACACACACACACACACACACACACACACACACACACACACACACACACACACACACACACACACACACACACACACACACACACACACACACACACACACACACACACACACACACACACACACACACACACACACACACACACACACACACACACACACACACACACACACACACACACACACACACACACACACACACACACACACACACACACACACACACACACACACACACACACACGTCAGGTGACACATGTAGACAGACTGTATCTTGCAGAGGAAACATTGCAAACACTTCTACAAATCCATTCTCAAGGGACTAATATGATCACATGACAAAATAACAAGACGTCGCCACGTGAGAGCAGCTCTGTGCAGAAAAGGCTTTAAATATCAACACGATTTAGGTGTTTTTATAATAATAATAATACATTGGATTTTCCTGGTGCTCAAAGACGCTTTACATAAAATCAGTAACAGAAAACAGAAACAGTCGTTCTAATCCAAGTGCGAGTAAAGAGTGCTTCACTTTTGAGACTATTTATTTGACGGCCATGTGATCGCCCTGCAGCAGCGACGCTTCCTGCTGTCATGAGACACGTCACACCTTCATCATCATCACCATCAAATCCCTCCTCTGCTGCACCAACAACGAGCCTTTTCACCCAAAGAGAGCATGCATTCCTTCAATTACACCCCCCCCCCCCCCCCCCCCCCCCCCCGTTATCATCAAAGCAGTGGAGAGTTATTAAAGGTCTCATGCCTGTTGATTTGTGAGCAGCAGCAGCAGCAGTGAAAAAGTCCCTAAAATCTGCAGTTCTGAAAAGGCAATATGAACGCCAATTATAACATTTAAATCACATCCAATTCTGGAACACGAGGCGTGATTAAATACATATTAATATGAAAGCATTTAAACACAGGCATGTTAGATCCACGGTGAGGAAGAGGATGGGGCTAAAGCTGATTACTATAATGAGATTAGAGCAGTCAGACGGACTGAGCATGTGAGGTATGTGAGGGCGGGAGGTCAAGGAAAACTGGGAATACACACTGATTACAGGTTTAAAAAATATTGTAAAGACGTCACTGTAAGGCTTTCTTTAAAAAGGCGTCGTGAAGACACAACACACACACACACACACACACACACACACACACACACACACACACACACACACACACACACACACACACACACACACACACACACACACACACACACACACACACACACACACACACACACACACACACACACACACACACACACACACACACACACACACACACACACACACACACACACACACACACACACACACACAGCACTCAGTAGCAATGTGGGACATGTTCAGTTTGTTTTGTGTGTGTGTGTGTGTGTGTGTGTGTGTGTGTGAGGGGGAGAGAATGTGTGTGTGAGAGTGAGTGTGTGTGTGTGTGTGTGTGTGTGTGATAGCTTCCAAGTGGTGCTGCTCTGCATGAATGAGGTGTGAATGACTCGTATATGTAAAGAGCTTTGAGGGGTCCAAAACACCTGATAAAGAGATTTATAAGTACAGACCGTTCCCTCTCAAAGAATAAAGACATACTTTAAGATGTAAGCGATATTAAAGCGGGTCATGACTTGTCAAATCAAGCACCTTGTGCAACACACATATGGTTTTGGTTTTATGACTGCCTTTAAACCATTTCATCAGCTAGAAGGACCTCGCGGAGGAACCCAACGACCCTCGCTCTTTCTTGGTTTTCTGCAGAGCTTTTAATTTCCTGTCTGCTCTGAGATCCAGCATCTAAATGTCCATCTGGCATCTGGAGGAGTCTGCAGGGCGGGGCGGGGGGCATCTGGAGGAGTCTGCAGGGCGGGGCGGGGGGCATCTGGAGGAGTCTGCAGGGCGGGGCTTTGTGAGGAAGAACAGTCATATTTCCTGAGGACACGTCCACAGAAGGAGAAGCTTTCTGTAAATCTGCTCCATGGTATTATTCAGGGGGGAAGGAAGTCAATTAAAGGGGCTCTATTCTGCTCATTGTGTGATTGGGAAGCTGCTTAGAGATGTCCCGCCCCTTAGCCTATCATGTACGATGACTTCTTCCTGATAATAAAGTACATAAAGCATAAAATACTGTTGCATAAACGTCTTTGAAGCAACACGTGTCCCTCTCCTCGTCCACATGAAACAATAAAGCGCCCTGCTTAGCTTCTGTTATAGTCATGAAGTCATACAGGAGCTTAGAGTATTTAAAGTCTGCTCCTAAGAGGGGAAGCACGTCACAAACGACAGCAGACCCTCATCAACAATAATAACAATCCCTGAATGGATCCTACAGCAGATTAGAGACCAGGCTTTTATCAGCTGACCTCTCCACTTCATGACATCTGCAAACAAAGTACGAGAAAACCTTCTGATCCTCCCGTTCTGCAGGAGTAGAGAGTATATTCCTGTTAGAATCTGCAGAATGGTCAATACACTGCAGGATGTTTCTGGATCACACCCTGAAGGAGAAGCAGCATCACATGCTTCTGTTTACGTGGTATTTTAGAAACTACGACTAATGCTTCTCAATTCAATTCCTGCTTCTCTACTTCTTGTCAGGTGCTCTGTGTGTCTTCAGGGCGTTCTTCAAAGACACAAAGGGTTTATTGAAAACTCCAAACCAACGTGAGAGCTCCACAAAGACACACAACAACAAATACATTTAAGCTACATCCATATGAGCATTACTTTATAGAATACCGTTAAACAAGTGAACTGCAAATAGTTAGTTATAATACAGTATATAAACGGGTTAAGACACAAAGCACATGTTCACAGTTAACACTAACCTTGAGCCTCTTGCTAACACTTTAATGTAAACGTTATCTTTTGATATCGCCGTATTTAAATGTTGATATCTCCGTTAATATCTGTACTTTATCTCCGTCAAGTTGTTGCTTTGGGAACAGTAGCTTCCTGCTAACAGCGCAAAGCATGTCTATATAAAACAGGAAGTTAAGACGTGTATACGGTCACAATGAAAGTAACAAAAACATCTCCTTTTCAGGTTCAAAGAACACACATTGGGTTATTTACATAAACTATTCATATTACAAATACATGTTTTAACCAGGAAGGGAAGACGGACATGGATATGACTCATGGGATTTGCAATATCGCAATATATCGTATCGCAATACTATCGTATTGTGGCTTAAGTATGGCGATAGTATCGTATCATGGCTTAAGTATGGCGATAGTATGGTATCGTGGCTTAAGTATCGCGATAGTATGGTATTGTGGCTTAAGTAGCGTGATAGTATGGTATCGTGGCTTAAGTATCGCGATAGTATGGTATCGTGGCTTAAGTATGGCGATAGTATGGTATCGTGGCTTAAGTATGGCGATAGTATCGTATCGTGGCTTAAGTATCGCGATAGTATGGTATCGTGGCTTAAGTATCGCGATAGTATGGTATTGTGGCTTAAGTATCGTGATAGTATGGTATCGTGGCTTAAGTATCGCGATAGTATGGTATCGTGGCTTAAGTATGGCGATAGTATGGTATCGTGGCTTAAGTATGGCGATAGTATGGTATCGTGGCTTAAGTATCGCGATAGTATGGTATCGTGGCTTAAGTATCGCGATAGTATGGTATCGTGGCTTAAGTATGGCGATAGTATGGTATCGTGGCTTAAGTATGGCGATAGTATCGTATTGTGGCTTAAGTATCGTGATAGTATCGTATTGTGGCTTAAGTATTGCGATAGTATGGTATCGTGGCTTAAGTATGGCGATAGTATGGTATCGTGGGGAGCCTGGTGTTTCCCAGCCCTACTAGCTGCCATATAAGAAGAGGATATTGCAGGAATAATGTAAACAAACACAGCTGTAAAAACCCCAGCGTGACACAGTTCACGAGGAGCAGCTTCCACGACACCCAGCTGGTTCAGTGCTGACGCTGTGATTCCTGACTGTGTTTTATTGGACGCTCGCTCAGAGACACAGAGAGAGAAAGTCCATTTTGATTCCAGGTTAAAGTCGTGGGAGCATCATCACGTCTCAAAGTCCCCGAGCTGCAGCACGATGAATCACAGCTGGGAGAGATAAGGGACCTTGAGGGGAGTTTTATTTTATTTATATAATCATGTTATTATCTTTTTATAGCGTTTATTTTATTGGAGCAACTATTTCCCCCTGGCGTAACAAAAGCCAAATCGTAATCTTTCACTAATCCTAACAGAGTACTTTTACTGCTTTTTGTTCCTATGGTTGCAAATCACATCATATTTTAAAAACAGTCCAGTAATCCTTATTTTTGGGGGAGGGAACAGGGATTTCAGCCTCTGCAGACCATTGACATGCACTAAATAAACACACACTACAGGAGAGGAGAGCCTCTTTCATTATTACGTCTATGTAAAGTTGTTTTTTAAGTGAACAAAATACACCTTAAGATATTTATTCTTGCATTTCTTCTAAAGGTTATTGAGGTTTTATGAAATCATGACAGTAAAAAAAGGGATTTTCTAGCAGAGTTTCCAGAATCAATTAAATAACTTGATCCACTTATGGTTTCTGAATGTGATCATTGATCATGCAGGATTAGATGAACTGCGTACTTTCCCAAAAAACCATGTCTATTACATTAAATAATTTCCTAAAAACAGATTCAAACCGTGGATATTTTTGGATTTGATCACATGTACTACTTTATTTCCTCTGATCTGTTCTAATTTCTCAACAGGGCGGAGGTTATTTTAAGTTCTGATCCAGTTCTATGTTTCCGTCTACAGTTATTTAATTAGTTTAATTGCATTAAATGAAGCGGATTAAAACGATTACTTTAAGCTTTACACTTCGAGGAAAACTGGTGAAGGAAATGTACCTCCAGCCTTTTAAAACGTGGAGATCTGTTTCTTTTGATCAATTGTAGCTTAGTTTGTTGTCAA